GGGCCGCGTCCGCGTGCACGTGGAGCGCAAGTCGGAGACTGTTGAGGGCAGCAAGCGCAAGCACTTCTACACCATCATCTCCAACGTTCCCGTCTCGACCTTCAAGAACCTCACGACGAAGGTGATTGAGCAGTAGGCGTGTCTCTACAGATACTCCCGTATCTTCTTTGTTTTGATTTCACTCGTTCAGGGGTGCTGTTTTGCCTTTGATGGTGTACATGTGTCTGATGTGTGACTGTTTTCTTTGCCTGTCTTTGTGGTGTACGGCGATATCATTTCTTTTCCTTTGTTACGGTTATCTATGTGTGTTGCTTCTTGGGTTGTAGGGCAAAAAGGGCGTCCCCGGAGTAGAGACAACTAACCTTAGCTTACCTCTTCAATGGGTGGCGGTGGGCGTGGCGGGGCTGTGTCTGCTTCCCCTCTTGCTCCTACTGCGGCAGCTACGGATGCCAATGCTACTGAGGAGTGGGCGGACGATAATGGATTCTTCGAGGAGTTTGCGAAGGAGGCCACTCTTGGTGGTGGTGCCTCGCGCCGCAAGCGCAGCCGCCAGGCATTCGAGGAGGTGCAGCAATCGGCGCTGCAGGCCCAGGCTCAGGCGGAGGAGGAAGATGAGGTGACGCGGAAGGCACGCGCGGAAGAGGCACGCAGGCAAATCGCAGCCAAAGTGCTCGCACGGGCAAGTCCCCGTGAGGTGCAGCAGGCCGTCAGGAAGGCGGAGAGGGAAAGCAACAAGCGTGGAGATAGACCAGAACCCCCTTTGGCGCGGCAGAAAAAGCGTATGAAGCGAGGCCATCGATGATTCCCAGTCATGCGAGCACGTTGGTAAGCAGAAGGAGAATGGGAAGAATGTGTGAAGATTGGTTGCTATACAACTCGTTTAAGGACTGTGTGAACTGTATAGTGTGCTTTTTGATTCATAGTTCGCCGATTTTCTACAGGGGCACTTGCACACACACACACACACACACACTGCTTTGGGAATGTTTTCTTTTGTAGTTCTGCTTTTTTGTTTGTTGTGTCTGTGGAAGAAGACGCTTTCAACGCTAACGGGCACACACACACACGGACGACGAAAAGGAAAGAAGTGTGCTTTAGTGGTCGGCAAAATCAATGACGCATCCCACCGACGACGATGACTTGGACGCCCTCCTCGATGACTGCATAAACACAATGGACGAGCAGGAGCGACGCCACGAGGAGGAGATAAAGGCGCGTGACGCGGTCCGTGAAGAGGAGTTAGAAAAGGCGCTCGCCTCATCCGACGAGGGTAGTGTGGCGCAGATACTTCAGTCTCTCATTGGAAACGGTGCTGACAACGCCACCACAGACCCCGAGGCCTTGCTTGACAAGCTGAAGGCGGAGATTACAAACATGGCCTCCATGGTCGACGATTTGCCGGACTTGAGCGAGGAGGAGCGTACCAGTCTCGCGCAGGTGAGACAGATGCTCGACTCGCTGCAGGGTAATGGTGAGGCGCCGCCGCCCCTGTCTGCCGAGGGTGGGGCAGCGGGTGAGGGCGACGAGGCTTTCGACAGTGTGATGAAGAAGTGTATCGCGGACATGGAGCGTCTAGCAGGAAATAGGGAGGGCGGAACGGCGCCAACAGCGAACGCATCCGAGACGTCAGGGTTGGGCACCGCTTCTGCTGGTGGTGCTTCAGCAGATCCAATGGCTGGTCTGACAGGGATGGTTCTCGACTTCCTGATCGACCCACAGCTGCTGGAGCCGCTGAAGGTGATGAGGGAGTCGTACCCGTGCTGGCTGGCCCAGCATGAGAGTAGCACAAGTGCTGAAGACCTGGAGCGGTACCGGAAACAGCATGACCTCACAATTAAGATTTGTGATCTCCTGGGTGAGGGTCCCATTGACCGCAACGATGAAGAGAAGGTAAACCAGATAGTTACATTAATGCATGAGCTCTCTGTACTGGTGCCCCTGCCGCCTGGACTCTCTGACGTGGATGTGAAGTCATCGAAGTGAAAACGGCTTCGTGGCCTTTTTGTGTTTCCTTTAATGATCAGCAGAACGAAATCAACAACAGTAAAGACACAGAAACAGAAGAGGAAATACGGGCGCTTTTCTTTCGATTTATAATTAAGCCATCAGTGTCGCTTGATTATGTCTCCAATTCTGCACCACTTAAAATGGTGTCTCAAGTTTTTCTTGATTTCAGTTCGGCTTTTTGCCACCCAGACCAGTTTTTTTTTTTTGTAATTTCCCCTCCGCAAACCCATCTCTCTCGTATTTTTGCGCCCATCGTTTAGGGTGAAGGCATCAAGACTCACAAAACCTCCTACGTATACGCGTACCCATCGCTCTTGGCCAGTGGCTTTGTGTGTGTGTCTGAAAGTGCGTGGAAAAAAGAGCGAGGAGGTGCAATTACGAGTAGTTGCAGCAAAATGACGGGCGACGCAAAGGCCCCGAGCGGCGGCGCGGCGAGGTCCAGCGCGCTGCCGTGGGTGGAGAAGTACCGCCCTGTCACGCTGGACGAGGTGGTCGCGCATGAGGACATCCTCGCCACGACGCGGCGGCTGATGGACAGTGGTAGCATGCCTCATCTGCTCTTCTACGGTCCGCCAGGTACCGGCAAGACGACAACCATCAAAGCATGCGCGCACTACCTCTTCGGCAGGGAGCGCATCCGTGCAAATGTGCTCGAGATGAACGCCTCCGATGATCGTGGCATTGACGTCGTGCGGCAGCAGGTGCGCGAGTTCGCCAGCACGAGCTCTATCTTCTTCACGTCCGCCACCACCACCGCCGCCGCCGCCGCCGCCGCCGCTTTTAAGCTCGTCATCCTGGATGAGGCGGACCAGATGTCTGGCGACGCGCAGGCGGCGCTGCGGCGCATCATAGAACGGTACACCAAAAATGTGCGCTTCTGCATTCTCTGCAACCACATCAACAAGATCATCCCCGCGCTGCAGTCCCGCTGCACCCGCTTCCGCTTCGCCCCTGTCAAGAAGGCCGCTATGCTGCCCCGTTTGAAGTTTGTTGCGCAAGAGGAGGGTGTTCACTTCACTGATGCGGGCCTTGTGGCGGCGTTCCGCCTCAGCCGCGGTGACCTGCGGCACTGTCTCAACACAATGCAGGCGTCCGCCATGTCCACGGGTGAAATTACGGAGGAATCGGTGTATCGCGTTACGGGCAATCCGACGCCGGCGGACGTGCGCGGTATTGTGGAGGACATGCTAGCCCATGACTTCGCAGTTTCGTGGGAAAAGGTGCAGCAGGCCGTTGCGGAGAAGGGTGTCTCGTCGACGGACCTCGTGCGTGAAGTGCACCACATCGTGATGGCGATGGACTTGCCTCAGGAAAGTAAGTGTTTTCTGCTCATGAAGATGGCCGATGTGGAGTATTACGCGGCAAGTGGTGCAAAGGAATCCACGAGCATCGGTGGTGTTCTTGGCGCCTTTCAGCTGGTGCGGGAGTCACTTACGCAGAAAAAGCGCGTCTTTGAGCTCGCGTGCTGCTGAGGCAAGACGCGGCGGTTTTGGGGGAGCGCGCACATCATTGGTGTAACGTAATACGAAAGATGGCACAAGCCAGGGCGTTGGCTTTACAGTGTGATGGGCCAGGCCCCTGGCTTGCTGGTATGAGGCTGATAGACTGTTGCTCTTCTTTTTCTTGAATGGATGCTTGATCATCCTGTTTTTTTTTTTTTTTTTTTTTTTTTTTTTTTTCCCCGCGCCCCCANTTTTTTCTGCGCCGCGCCGCGACGCGAACTAAAAAAAAAAAAGCTAAAGGAAGAGGTGGGAAAAAGGGGGTGTGGGAAAATAAAAAGTTTACCGTACATAGAAATAGACATTACAGTTTTCTAGTTGCGCGTGTGTTGTCGTCGGGGGGCGGCAGCTGGTGTCGATGAGCTCCAGCGATGACGAGTGGCGAAACCCGCCCGTGTTTCCTGGGGGGATGAGTCGCGGTGGCGGTGAGAGCTCACTTTTGGCCGCGCGGCGGCAGGCGGCGCAGCGGCAGCGGGAAGCGGCAGCGCTGCGCGTCCCGACGAAAGACCCTCCTGCGCTGCAAGAGAACTTCACGGCCATAGAACAGTCAGAGCCGCCAAAGCAGTCGCAGGCAGAGGTGACTGAAGAAATGCTCGAATCGTTGCGCCGCGAGCTTGAGGCGAAGAAAAAAGTGCTCGCGGCCGCGAATGAAAAGGAGACTGCACTGAGGGATAGATGGCGGGCGCAAAAAGCGCAGAAGCTCGCCGAGCTTGCGCAGCTTGACGCCAAACTTCGTCACCAGCAGGACAAGATGGAAGAAGTCAAGGCGGCGGCGGAACGTGAGGTACGTGACGCGGAGGACGCGCAACGGCAGCGCCTGAGCGAGGAGCGCAGCAGGTTGGAGGCGGAGATACGCGAGCAGTACGAGCCACAAATCGCAGCCCAGCGTGCTCTCCTCGAAGAGCTGCAGCAAAGGGAGGCGAAGCTACAGGCGGAATTGAGTGCGGGTGACACGGCCAAGGATCTTGTCAACAAATGCATTGGAAGTGCCCTTGTCACTATACTGCAGCGTGTAGAGGGCATGTTTGCAGACAATGCAGCTGCAACAGGTGATTGGGAAGATGATGTGCAGCGACTCGTGCGTCACGAGGTGCGCTCTTCCTTCGCCGTGGCGAGCGACAGTGAGGCACAGCACGAGCGTGAGGACTACCAGAAGCTGTTCGAAGACACGCTCGCATTTTGGCGCAAGGCTGAGGAGGAAGAGCGGGACTACGTGCTCAAGATGGATGAACAGCTGCTGCTGGACCTGCAGTCTATGGTGCACGATGATCTTGACCGGCTGCAGCGCGAGGAGCTGGGCATGGAGGAACTCTACGTCGAGTCACGCGAGGCGTGGGCGACGCAGCAGCAGGAAATGCTGAAACGCGAATTGGATGCCGCGATGGAGCGCCGCGCCGCTGAGTTCGACGAACAGCGTTCGCAGCGCCATCAGTTGCACGTCGAGCGCATGAAGGCGGTGGAAGAGAAGCAGCAGGATATGGTGGAGAAGCAGCGGTGGCTTCATGAAAAGCACATGGCACTGCTGCGCGAGCAGCACGCAAGAGAAGAGCAGATCGCCGATACGCACAGACGCATCGCTGCAGCGACGCACGCGGACGTGTCACGCACCACGGAGGAATTCACCCGCATCGTGCACGCCGTCGAGGCGCTGCTCCAGCGGCTAAAGGACTATCGCACCGCCGTCGACGAGGGGCGCGCGGCACTCGACAACGATCGGCGCCGCGCTCTGGAGGCCCGCGAGACGACGCTGGCGGCGCTGCAGCACGCCGTCACACAGCAGACGGTCGCGGTAGGCGCTGAGCACGACGCGCTCTCG